GGCAGGGGATGGCATCTCAGGTTGATTGGAGCAAAGCGCTGGTGGGGTGGTCAGGAAGAGTGACATGAACATTTGAAAGATGCGGAGCCTCATGTGCAAGGTCAAAGCGTTTGGCAGATCAGAGCAGGGGAACCACCTGATCAAGTGATCTCTTAGGAGGTGTGCAGGGAAGGCAGGGCAGGAGAGGAACTAGAGGTATAGAGAGGAGGGTTCAGAGACACTGTGCTCTCTGCTTTCTGTGGCTGCTGATGGCAAGAGCACTGCACCTGTGCCTTCATCCGCTTTCTCTCGGTTCAGCTTATTGGCGCACACGTAGGTCTCACTGAGGCTGCCTCCCAGGAGCCCAAACGTTCATAAAAGGCAAACACGCGTGACTCAGATCTTTCTGGGGACCAAAAAGGGAAGGGGGTTGAAGAGAAGATAGATCTGAATAATATATACCAATGGGTGCCCTAGCCAGTTTGGCTCAATGGATAGATCATTGGCCTGTGACTGAAGTGTTGTGGGTTTGATTCTGATCAAGGGCACATACCTTGGTTGCCCAGCCCTGGTTGAAGCAAGTGTGGGAGTCAACCACATTGATGCTTTTCTCTCTGTGTCTCTCCCTCTCCCTTCCATTCTCTCTAAACATCAAGGGGAAAATATCCTCAAGTGAGTATTATCAAAAACAAACAAACAAAAACCCAAATTATACCTCTGGGCCCAAAATTCCAACATGTGGCCTAGTTTGAGATAAGTTTGCTTAGAGTAAGCAAGGCCCTATGAACACGGACAGATGTTTATATTTATATTTATATTATTTCTCCCTGGGCACGTTGGCAGCCCTTGTGCCTGGTACTTCTGGGTACTGAAGTCATCTGTACCAGCATGGAAGACGTTAATCCCTGTTTTTGTGTTATGGGCCAAATCTTAGAAGAAAAAAAAAAAAAAAAGGACATTGATATCATTCTGGGTGATCTCTTTGTTATTTTAGCTGGTTATAATTAATACTGTTTGCACATGAAGTGTTATACTAGTGTTCAAAACAAGCTTAGTACTTAGTCAAAGATTTTATTGATAAAAGAGATGCCAAGATGATTCCCTTCCAACCACTTCTCTTCACTTGTTGTTGTAAGTTCAGATTCTGAGTTAAATACAGCCCTTCCTTGCGTTGGGGACCCCTTTTGCCATCTGGTTGGGCTTCTCAGTATCTTCTTTCCCTGGAACGGGTCACTGATTTTTATGGGCATTTAGAAGTTCATGTGAAAACCATTTTAGTATGTTTTTTGAGGGTTAGTATTAGCTTCCAGGCTGATACATTAGCACAGTGGTCAGCAAACTCATTAGTCAACAGAGCCAACTATCAACAGGACAACGACTGAAATGTCTTTGGAGAGCCAAATTTTTTAAACTTTAACTTCTTCTAACGCCACTTCCTCATAATAGACTTGCCCAGGCTGTGGTATAATATTTTGTGGAAGAGCCACACTCAAGGGGCCAAAGAGCCGCATGTGGCTCGAGAGCTGTGGTTTGCCGACCACTGCATTAGCAAATAGTTATTTCTGGTGGGAAGCTGCCATCACGTTATTGTTTACGCGTCTCTGTTCAGCTATTTTGAGCTCTGGGCTGCAGGGTGTGGCTCTTTTGAGCTTTAGTGCCTGATGCTTTCAAACAGACTGCCCTGGGCTTCAGACCAAAGACTGACTCAGGGAGACACCACACACAGTGGCATTTTTGGTGGTTTGGGGAGGCACAATGTGAAAGTCTACCTCAGTATTTTCTATGAAAAAAGGGTTTGAGGAAATAAGTAGGGTAACATCTCAGATGAAATAAAATTATTTTAAGATTGAGTTGGAGTAGAGGATGGAGGAAGAGGATGGGAAGTCTTTGGTAACCACAGAGCCGATCTGCCAGGGCGTGTTTCAGAGTTCCGTGCCCTGAGTTGGTCCCGCCCCCAGCTCCCATGCATGGGGCGGGAGGAGGCAGAGATGGGCTGGCCCAGCCCGGTGGGTCAAGTAGCACTTCCGGAGCACCTGGCCCTTATAATTGGAAACAGCAGGTGTAACACAGGTCCCAGCCCTGCATCTCCCCTTCCCTGAGCAGGTTCAGAAAGACTCTCTTTGCTCTGTGATGGGCTAGCCAGCCAGCACTTGCTCTAAGAAAGAGAAGAAAGGACCCGGCTAAGACTCCTGGCCCCCAGTTAAAATTCTCATGCTGCTCAAAACTAAATTGAACACATTGATCGTGGTGGTGTCCTGTCCCTTCCTCTCTTGATGCTATGAATTGGTGAAAACACCAATGAGAGTGGCCTCCCAGTAAAGGCATTCAATCTACTGATATCAATGAAGGAAATGCCTTTTGCCTTTATCACCAGCCTGCCTTTGGGCAGAGTTTTAAGTATTTCCTATTCTCCTAAACATGGATTTGTTGCAACATTAAATGTTAACTGTGGCTTTTAGAAGGTTGATGAGATCATTGCCACTCCAGCCCTGTTCACGCCACGGAAATCCTGTTTTGTTTCCATTCTTATTTGACACTTCTGTACTTTGTTCCTTGGTATTTTTACAATGCAGGCAGCTCCTATTGTTGTTTCTTTAAGAGTTAAAAATTTAAAATGCGCCTGTTACAATATCACAACTTTGACATCAAATTGCTTAGATGTACATATTCTTTTTCTCTAGAGAATAGTATTCAGTAAGTTAATTCAAGACCTTAACATCTTCAACGCAGATGGCTGCTGTAGCCACACCTTAGTGACGGCAAAGCAGCAGGATTCAGAGGGGCCTTGAGTGGTGCACATGTTTGAAATAATTGGTCACTGAGAAGGAAACAATTAATCTCCCTCACTGGCAGAGATATATAATTTTTAATGAAAGGAATCTATGCTTTCCCCCAGGGCGTATGTTAATTTTCAACTAAAGCAAAGGCAAATGGAACACCCAAAGTTTAAGATCTAAATAGTTTTAAAAATCTAAAACTCTACTGAAGTTTGATCTTACTCATGGAGATTTCTTGATCTCTTGGATATGAAAGTTTTGCTTGGTTTTAGAAAGTTAAAAGTGTTTGCTAAGCTGTTAATATAAAATCGACCAAAACTAAATTTTAAAAAAATGGGCAATTGGAGAGAATAAAGGGAATTAATAGTAGTTCAAATACATTTTTTTTTCACTTCCCTTGACTTTGAGAAGTAAGAAAGTTTGGAAGAGCAAATGATGTCACTGAAGGTTGGAATCCAGGGGAATCTGTAAAGTTTGAGGCTCAATTCAACTTAGTATCTCAAAAATGGCTCCCAGTGTTACCTTAGACACCATGGTTGAAGGATCAGAAGAAGCTAAGATGAGGACGTTTGCCCATAAAGTGCTTTCTCATCCTGCAGGAAAATAAGATATGTACATAGAAGAATATTGAAGAAAAATCTCTCAGATAGTCTATAACCCCCTTCCCGCCCCTCTCTCTCCCCCCTGCACCCCCACACAAGATTGTGTTTATTGTTGTTGAAGGAATTTACAGTCAGGATGAGGTTAGTCCATATTTGTGCTCCCTCAACCCACAGGACCCATGTGGTAAGGATGAAGCAGGTGTGAGCACAGCGGGGACCCTGGCAGGTTAGAGGAGGCAGCAGGTGGTGAAGGCGCTGTTTTCCAGGTCATGTGATCACAGGAGTATTTATAGGGTGGTCATTCTTAGGCATGATGGGCTGAGGCTGTCATCTTGGGTTACTTGGTTGTAAATTGCTGTGGAGTGTTGATCTAAACAAAGGCTGATGAATCCCCAGTGGACAGCTTGCTTGCAGGCTCTACGTCACCCTATGTTTAATCATTTGCTGTGAGTGAAGTCTGCTAACTAAGGGTGGGGGAGTCGTTAGCTCCGTCAGAATGTCCCTGTAGTCAGCACGAGTTCATCTAGGTGTGTTCATGAGTCATGGGACATAGTCCGAGGAACCCTGGAAGAATTCTGGTAGGCAGCAATTCAGTGATTGAGTTCACCTCCTTCATACTCCAACCGAGTGCCCAGTAGCTGCTTGTAGAGATAACCAAGAAGTATCCTGGGTTCCTGGCCTAAGGCCCTTGATTATACAGGCATCACGCAACCTTGGGAATTGGAGGGTTAAGATTGGAGGTTTCCAGCTTTGACTGTAGTTTCCCAGTCCTTCAGCAGTGGACACCTTCACTCTCAGGGGCTGCCTGAGGCTTCGGTTTTGGACAAGTTTCCGTGGCCTTCTCTGGTCTTGTCTGAACATGGACACCAGGCCCCAGTCCCTGGCATTCCAGGGCCTGCTTCTTTGCCCATCTCCATAACCCACAGCTGCAGTGCTGAAAGAAGACACCAGGATCCAGACACAGTGAAGCATCCTCTTTTGCATACATTAAGGTCCTGAATGATGGTTTTCTCTTGGGCGAGTTCCCTTCTTTTTCCTCTTCTGCCTGTTCATTTTTCTCTCTCGCTCTATAATACACAAATAATTGGCTTTTCCTATTTGCTGCACAAAGAGAAAATTAACCATCTGAATTTTCCATAGCTATGAGAAAGTATTTCCAGAGTGTGAAAAAATAGACATTGGACATTTCAGCTACTGCTTTTCATAGAGGGGGAATTTATTACTCAGCTCAGTTACAGTCTTGGCTCAAACAAAGCAGTTGTGTGGGCAAGCAGTAGGTACCTTTTCTAAGTGGCATTGCCAGGGACAGCTTGGTTCGTATTTGAGACACCGTGAACTAAGAGTAACGCTCCATCCAAGACCGTTTGGTTATCTCTGGATCTTAGACATACCACAGAAGTCATTGAGACCTGGCCAATGGGGTGGACTGGTTTGAGATATTGCATCGCTCCCAAAGGATAGGAAACTAAAGGGGAGGGAGGCAAGAGAGAGATCAGAGCCCAACAATAAATAGCTCTTTGTACAGTCCCCTCCCCTCAGCCCAAACCACTGAGATCATAGAGTAAGTGAACGGCATGCAGAGGGCAACTGCCCCAGCAGCTGGACGGACAGAATGACCGGATGTGAACTTGTCTTCCCACAGTGTGCGGCTGTGACCTGGCCCAAGGTGGCTTCTTCATAAAGAACGGGGAGTATCTCTGCACGCTGGACTACCAGAGGATGTATGGGACACGCTGCCATGGCTGTGGGGAGTTCGTGGAAGGAGAGGTGGTGACTGCCCTGGGCAAGACCTACCATCCCAACTGCTTCGCGTGTACCATCTGCAAGTGAGTGAGGGCTTCCCAGCGGAGCACTGGGAATGCTTGGGATGGCCCCCTGGAGTCTTGAATTATGCTTAGTCTTAAAGTATTCTGTTTTCTGATATGTCCTTAGATTCCTTTATCTTTCTACTATATTAGCAGACTTTGTCATAAAGTAATTTATGGTGTCTCCTGCTAAATAATATGACTCATACTGAGAGGCTTGATACCAAGTCTGAAAGTAGTTCTAGGTCTCAAAAGATTTGGAGCAATGGAACATTGGGAGGAAATGACATAACTGATTAAAAAGATAAAACTTTGAAAAGTAGAAAATCTTGTGTGTGTGTGTGTGTGTGTGTGTGTGTGTGTGTGTGTGTTTAAAGTAGTCTCATTTTCTCTAGAGCAAGAGTGGGCAAACTATGCTCCAAATTAGACCCAATACCTGTTTTTGTAAATAAAGTTTTATTGGGACACAGCCACGCTCATTTGTCAATGACTCCTTTCAAGCTACAGTGACAGAGTAGTTGTGACAAAAATCATATGATCCACCAAGTACAAAGAAATATCTATGAGCTGGTATTTTAGGAGAAAAGTTTGCCAATCCCTGCTCTAGGTCATCTATCATCGACATCATAAATCTTAACTTCACTTGATTAAAACGATCAGTCAGAGAGAGGGAAACTGAAGTGTGGGTGGGGAAACGTGCTTTTACTGTTTTGCCAGGAGTGCTACACGTTAGAGAATGTAAGTTGGGTCTGACTCCTATAATAAGGAGGTTCTGAGTTGGTGGGCACCACCTGCGCCTGCCCGTCCCTTGGCCTCCCCAGCTGACCCAGCCAGGCTAGTCGCTGGACCTCTCTGGTCCTTTTCTGAACAATGGAAAGGAGCTGCACCCCGGGAGGAGAGGAGACCACAACTCAGCATTTCTAGAACTTGGGGGCAGAGCACTTAACCCTCTCCTTAGTGACTGGGACCAGACCACAGGTGGTGTGGGCTTAAGTCCGAATGTATATGACAGTTCATACCACTGTGAGGCAGCCCAAGGGCGGCGTCAGGAGGAATGGCCCTTGTGAAAGCAAAATTCACATCCAAAAACTTGACTTTGTCCTCAAGTAATTGCTCTAACTCAGGTGTGCTGGGCTGTTTTGCTTGTGAGCTTCCCATTTCCAATCAAGACATTCACACATTTGAAAACCCATGCTGATGAGGATAATGGGCACATTGGCCTAGTGCAGTGGTCGGCAAACTGCGGCTCTCGAGCCACATGCGGCTTTTTGGCCCCTGGAGTGTGGCTCGTCCATAAAATACCACTAAGCCTGGGCGAGTCTATTTTGGAGAAGTAGTGTTAGAAGAAGTTTAAGTTTAAAAAATTTAGCTCTCCAAAGAAATTTCAATTGTTGTCCTGTTGATATTTGGCTCTGTTGACTAATGAGTTTGCCGACCACTGCAAGTAAGTAGGCACAGAAGCTGTCCTGTGGCTATTCCTGAATGATTCTGTCAATATTCTATCTACCTAGAGAAGAAACGGATACCACATATGCAGAAGGTAGTATTTTTGTAAACTGTGCTGTTATTGATGAATGCCTCACCGGAAATGGTATTCTCTTTTGGAAAAGAAACCAATAGTAATTCCTAAACAGGTATGTATGGCCTTGCCATGTTTCTCCACCAGAGGCTGGGTCCCACGCAGCACAGTGATCCATTCCCATCGCCCACTCAGATGTCCAGCACGAAGTCTAACTCAGCAGCATTTATCACAGAAGTCAGTCTTGGGAGCTGAAAGAGTTAACACTTGACTTGTGACCAACTAACTCTCCTGGGGAGGGGCCTTAAGCCTGGCTAGGAATTCATGGCATTTGAAATGTTTCTTCATGAAGGGTTTTCCATTTGGAAAATTTTACTGTGTGCGCCCTGCTGAGCGACTTGTTGGAACACACACACACATGCACACACACACACACACCCAGAACTAGTGACTCATTCGTTCCCTTTACTGTCTGGATGCACACTCTCCCTTCTCAAATTGAGGCATGTTTGTTTGTTTGTTTGTTTGGGCCGCGGCCAGCTGGCCGGCTTGGTGGAGATGGCGTTTCAGACACTTGGGCTGGTACTTCTTCAAGAGAGGAACTGGCACCGAGGGCAGCAGGCAGAAAGGAGGAAGGCACAGGAGTGAAGTCACTGGGATAACCTGCAGAGCAATGTCCTTCTGTCTCCAGGCGCCCGTTTCCACCCGGGGACCGCGTCACGTTCAACGGGAGAGACTGCCTCTGTCAGCTCTGTGCCCAGCCGATGTCGTCCAGCCCTAAGGAAGCCTCCTGCTCCGGCAGTAAGTGTCCCAGCCCGGCTGGCATGGTTTCCCGTGGCTCAGAGGTAGCTTAAGGCGGGTGCCTTTTTTTAAGTGAAAACTTAGCTGGGGCCGAGAGTCATACTGTCTAAGGCATTTTCACTTGTAAAACGTGAAGCTCTTGATGACAACCCATGCAATAAAGAGCGACTTCTTTGTTGCAAAAAAGACATACATAGAATTGGGCATTAAATTGTGCCTTTTGGCAGTGAATGGGAGTTAGAAAACTTCACAGTGGCAACGCTATCTCGAGTCGCAGAGGTTGAGGTGGGGGAGCATTTGGTGGCGGTGTAATTGATGTCTCTGTGTATTAAACAGCTACCTCCTGTGCCTAGAGCAAATGAGGTGGTTGATACTGACCCTTAAGTATTTTTTATTGACCTGGAGGGGTTCTGCATTTGGCCATTGGATGATGGATAACTTGCTGGGTACCAGTGATGTGTATTGTGCCCACTGGTGACATAGGTGTGAACAGAACCCAGTCAGCATCCTCTAAAAGCTTGCTTTCTGTTGGCAGCAGGTAGGCAATAAATGCATATGGCACACAAAAATACCTAATGCGAAGAAACTGAAAGCAGGAAGAGAAAGGCTAACAGGCTGCACCGATATGGATCGATAGGGGGAGAGCTCTCTTAAAACGTGACACCAAGGAGCGAGCTGCAAAAGGTGGGAACAAGTTAGGTGCTGGAATCTGTCATTCTTTAGGACGAGGGCTTGTCTGGCCTGTGAGAATCCAAAGAAAACCACCCTCCCCCCAAATAAAAACAGCGGCCCGTTGCACGATTCCTTCTGGTAAATAACACTGAGTAGACGAGTGAACGTTTGAGATGTATTCTGCACTCTGAGCTCCAAACAGGGAAGCTCTACCCCCATCTCTCTCCTGGGCGTGAGGACGTGGGCCAGAGGTCAGCCTTGGTTTCGGTGGATTTCGCCAGTCCCGGGGAGACCTGGGGGAAAAACGCCTTTATGCCTTGCTGGTCTCAGCACAAAAGAATGAGATCAGCTACTTCTCCTCAGGAGGAATGCTATGCCATTCATAGCAGCGATTCCAAATCTTCCTGTCCACGGGGAAGAGTCCTGATGCCTGTTAAAAAGAAGAATGTTCTGACCAAGGCATTTGCATAGAAATTGGATTTTTGACCATTGCGAGGGAAGAAGAAAAATAAGTGTTAGTGCATCTTATTCAGCAAATGGGGTCCTTCGCAGGAGGATGTCTATGCCCTGCGGAGGGACACTAGCAGCCTGGGTGGGGCAATGGCTACAGAGCAGCGCAGGCCTAGTCTCCTAGTGGGATTCTGAGTCCTTCACTGTCCTTACCTGCTCTATCCCAAGCAGGTCAGCGGGAAGGTGACCTGGGTGGGCATAGTCACCCCCGGTGAGGAAGGGCTTGCTCTGAAAGAACATTACCACCAACATTGAAAGGATTCTTCAGACTCTTTAAGAAAAAGGGTTTCAAAGAACTTGTGTGCATATGTGCTTGACTCATGGACACGGACAATGGGGTGGTGAAGGCCTGGGGTGGGAGGTGGGAGGGGAGCTACAAAAAGTGGGAACAAGTTCTGTGGGGATATTTGTAGAAGGGCTGCCACAGCTGCCTTCCACAGCTGCAAGATTGAAGGAGACAGGGGGATATATGTAAGACTTTCAACAATAAAGGTGTTTGTTTGTTTTTTAAGGATTTTGTGAGTCCCAGCATAGGATGAAAGCTGAGGAAGAGCGTCATGTCCATGGGCCTATAATAGGAAAGGCTGTGTCCTCACATTCTGTAGAGTCCTTTAGTCCAACTATTGTTCTTGATAGGTGGGGAAATTGAGGCCCACAGGCATACTCACACTGCCCACTAAAAGGTCAGAGTAGAGCCCTAACCGGTTTGGCTCAGTGGATAGAGCATCAGTGTGTGGACTGAAGGGTCCCAGGTTCGATTCTGGTCAAGGGCATGTACCTTGGTTGCGGACATATCCCCAGTAGGGGGTGTGCAGGAGGCAGCTGATCAATGTTTCTCTCTCATCGATGTTTCTAACTCTCTATCCCTCTCCCTTCCTCTCTGTCAATAAAATATATTTTTTTTAAAAAGAAAAAAAAGGTCAGACTAGAAAAGGTCTTTGGGGTCCTGGTCTGGAGCTCTCTCTCTTGTTTCATCTGACATTCCTCATGGTTTGGATTGAGAGACAAAAGTGGGATGTTTTTAAAGGTTTCTAGTCTTCTCCATCCATGCAATTCGGGATCCTGTGTCCTAGTCACAGTTCTACCAAAATGGTTATTCCAATGTTTATTAAAGTGTTGCTGTTGTTGTTGTTTTTGCTTTATCCCTTTTTCTATTTTTATATTATATACATGTTATTTACATTAAAAAAAGAAATAAAGCCCACCTGGTGTGGCTCAGTGGTTGATGCTCACAAATGGATTCCTGGTCAAAGCACATGCCCAGGTTGCAGGCTTGATTCTCTGTGTGAGGCATGCAGTAGGTAGCCAATCAATGATTCTCTCTCATCACTGATGTTTCTAGCTCTCCCTCTCCCTTCCTCTCTGATATATATATATATATATATATCTTTTTTTTTTAAGGAAGAAAAATTTTAAGTGTAAGAATGTACCCTCCTCAAATTCATCACATCTCTAATGGCAGATATAATAATTGTTGCTTATGTGCAAATTGTTAGAACAAATCGTATTTTTTCTCTTGCTTGCACATAGATGAAATCTCAATTCTATGAAACTGTTTTGATCGGTTCATTGTTATTTTTCAACAAGTCCTTGTCTATTTAGGTAAGTACTCAAGTAGCATTTCTGAGGCATGTGGTCATGGCTGTCTGCCAAAAAGAGAGCTCTTTATATATGGTTACACACATGCACAATACGCAGACAAGGCAGGCATGCGGATACTAGCTCAAGGGAGTTTTCATCAAGTTTCTGAAATTTACTGGGACGTGATTAGAAAACGCTGGTTGTTATTTGTAACTAGAGGCCCAGTGCATGAAATCCGTGCACGGGGAGGGTCCCTAGGCCTGGCCTGCGATCAGGGCTGATTGGGGTCTTCTTCCTCCTGGCTGCCTCTGTTCCATGCTGCTCCCTGGTGGTCAGCACATGTCATAGCAAGCAGTAGAATGAACTCCAAAGGGGCTAATTTGCATATTAGCCTTTTATTATATAGGATTCTTGAAGAATTGTCTTGTACTTTAAAACCATCCTGAGGTCCCTTTGAGTCCTTTTTTTCTTTTCATTTTTAAATTGTCAAAGCTTCCTATATAGAAGCAAAAATGAACCTCTCTCTTGATAATCACAGAATCGATGAAATGTATCAGAGTGCCAAGGTCCTCTTTTTCCTCTGAAATGTTCTTTGAAAAATGAGTTTGCTCTTCTGAACTACAATTTTATTTCACATACCGGGGCTGGTTTCCTGTAGTCACCGAGTAGCGGGTGAAGACAGCGTGAGAGGGAGAGAGGAAGTGAAGCGTGGCCGACAGAAGCCATCGTTTACCCAAAATCGTCTCAGCTGGAGTTTCCTGGGTGAAGGTGCACTTTCAGTTTCTCCTGCTCTTCTAACCTTTCTGTTTTATTTTCCTTATCAAACATGCACATAGCACTCACTCTGTATCAGGCACTGTGTAACTGGTCTACAAATCTTCATTTAATCCTCATCACCACTCTATGAAAACTATCCCCTTTGCACAGACGAAGAGACAAAGGGTCACAGAGGTTAAATGATGTGCACAAGATCACACGGACATTAAGTGGTGGGGCCGGGACACCAACCCCAGCCGTCTGGCACCAGAGGCCATTACCATCCTTGATATTGATTGGACCATGTAGATGGCGCTCTCTGGTTTTCAAAGCTGGGGGTTGCGGAGCCTCGGAGCGGTGACCTGACTTGTCTGCAAATGACCCACGTGTCCTTCCTGCAGGGCTGTGCGCTCTTTACCTGCACCGCTGCCTCCTGCTCTAGCAAGACTGGGTGAATGGAAACCAGCAGGAAGTTATTCATAGAGACAAACAACTTCAATTATGGATTATTGCCCCTGAATTAATTAAAACTTGCTGCATCCAGTCTAATGCAATTTGAATTCAATAAGCAATAACCATTTTATAACACGGAGATGATAGTAAGTTATCTCAAAGGGTTGTGAAGAGCATTAATTAGATTGCTTTTACTATCAATAACAAAATCAATTGCCTATGTCTAGCTGATCCATATTTTAGAGATAAAATGTATGCCCTGGAGACATTCTATTCTACAGAAGCATACACACTCTTCTCTAAAGCTTACTCAACTCCTTTCTCCATGAATTTGCCTCTAAGGGTCTAGATTCCTGGGGGTTAAGGAGATGGGTGCAGGGGAGTCTGTGTGTGACCACCTAGGGCGTGGGGAATGGGGCTTGGGTTGTCATTTCCTACGCTGCTCCTGTCTATTTAGGGCACATGAGCATGAGTGGGCTGCTGTCTACAATCACCCTTTCCACTTCAAAGGGTGTCAGACTAGTGTCTGATATCATGTGGGTTGGGTGGATTGGCATGGGGAACACCCATGCACGAATACATCCAACCCCATCCTCCTCTCTCTCCCCGTTCTGTACAGCACTGTCATTATTCTGATTGCCATTGGAACTTTTACAGGTATCAGGACAAATGTCCCACGTGGTCTGAATTTAAGTTAGTTTAGATAGAATCATGTGCATGTTTTTAAAAAAACATGTTTTTATTGTTTGGGGGTTTTTTGGTGTTTTTGTTTGTTTTTGCTTTTGTTTTTGTTTTTCAGAGAGGGAGAGGGATAGAGACATAGAAACACTGATGAAAGAGAAACGTCATCAGTTGGCTGCCTCCTGCAAGCCTCCTGCTGGGTATCGAGCCCACAACCCGGGCATGTGCCCTGACTGGGAATTGAGCCAGTGACCTCTTGGTTCATGGGTCATTGTTCAACCACTGAGCCACACTGGCCAGACTCTCATCTTTTTTTGTAAGCTTTTTCTCCTGTATCATAAAAGGGA